CGAAGCGCGCCTGCAAATGTGGCACCTTTACATTGCTGGTCTAGTCCACAGAAATCTGCATGAAACCACAACCTGACTCTTCACAACTATGCAGATTACACTTAAACCAAACGGTGGTGATTTTGTAAGCTCTAGGGTATATGTTTCGTAAGCATTACGTAGCAAAATCGTGCAAAAGGCTTGACAGCGCATGCGCATATCCTGTACCGTATGCCTACAGTAACCCAAGTGCGACTAGCGCGAGGTGTGCTCTTCGTGAACAGTGAGCAACAATCCAACTTCTGTTATAAGTTCAGGAAACTCATAAACGAGATTCATGCCCGAAACATGGCAAAATAGTGAAGACTACGTTGAAAATCTCACCTTGCCCATAAAAATGGTACTCCACGAGGAAATAGGAAAGAGGAAATGTCAATCGCAACATTCTCTGGCAGATTTGTGCCGACCACAACGTGGAATTGCAGAAGAATGGCCAAATCTTCAGCAGTTAGATTGAGTGGTGACAACAGCAGCGAATCGCACTGCACTGAAGGGTTTAACTCCTAAACATTCTTTTGATAAGAAAGAGCCCATGCAGTCAAAAACTATACCTTTAGATATTCAATCGTAGCATCTGCTCTCGGGCGTCCCACATCCGACTTCTTGAGGAAAAAATTTTGTCCAAGATCTGGTGTTTGTACAAATGCACTGTCAACAATGCAAACAGAGTGAACTCCAGCCAAAACCAAGTTCTTCAGAATTTCCGTTCCTCAAATCGAACTCATATGCTATACTGAAGCTCAGCTGATTTTGACTTACCGAGTGCAGACGAGCCTAGCACGCAAACCGAAGTTCGCGCTATAGAATTTTGTCCTTCTTCTCCCCATAAACGGAGTTGTCGATCATAGCGTACCTCATCCATCAAAATGGCGAGTGCAGATCAACTAAATGAAAAAGTAACGGAAAACGGTGTCGATTGTTAATGATGCGCATAACTTTTGAACAGTAGTGCAGTTGCAGACGCACGTCTTAAATTACGCCTGCAAATGAGTCGGTAAGGGGGAACGTCCGGAAGGCGACAAATGGCCTAGAACAGGTCGAACTAGTGGCCACGCCCTGTCCGAGT